GCCAATCGACGGAGACACCTTCACTGAATTACAACTGTAAGAGCATACACACATATAGACACCTCTATCACAAGAGTAACTGTTTTTCTGAAGGCAATAAACATACAAAGTCACTGGAATTTTGCCTAATAGCTTTTTTCTCCCTCTGAAGTGAGAATGGAGTGCCAGTGATCTCACTCAATGAACAGAGGGACGTTGTCCTGGAGGTCCATGTTACCAATCCGAACGGGGATGATGCTCATGAAGCCTCATTGGAAGCCGTCTTTCCACAATCACTTACCTATACTGCTTCTCGCATTCCAGCTACTGTAAGTCTCTCTTTCTCCATCACAACCACTTTTTTTTTTTTTTATTATTCTTTATTTTAGACTTTGGACAGCAACAATATTACAGAGCATTGTCACAGAAAAGCAATTAAGTCTCTTTTGCAGTCCTCAGCTTTTAAAATATAAACATAAAGAACTAAATACAGTGTGGGAGAGATAAAGTGTGCGTTCAAAATGAATAAAAAAATATATATATCAGAAAAAATACTAGAGAGAGAGAAAAAAAATAGGCAAATAAGCAAATAAATAAAAGATTCAGCTAAATTAAATGGGGTTTGCTAAGACAAGACAACGTCACAAGATCACTTCCACAAAATCTGTCTGCAGTGGTTTCACATATTTAACCCACTTGGACCAGAGTTTAACAAAAACTTCCTTCTGTAGACGCAAACAAAAAAAAGTGATCCTTTCCATAACATAAATATAATTTACAATTTCAATCCAGCCGTGTATGGTAGGAGGTTCAGGAAGTAACCAATCACCACCACTTTTAGACAGAATCACAAATGGTTGTGGCGCTGGATAAGCTCAGCTTTAAGGTTGTGTGACCCATGTGCCGAGACTGCAGTCCTTGCTTTGAATGTTGTCCCTGGTTTGAGCCTGACACGCAAACATTTACTGCATGTCTCCACCACCCTCTCCTCCCAATATTCCATGTCACTCCCTACTGTCCTATCATATAAAATAATAATAAAGAAAAACCCACCATTTTGTGGTTCTGATTAGAAATGATTACTGATTTCAGGAGCGGCATGTATCCTGCAGTGCCAATAACGATGGTTCTAAGGTAAATTGTGAGCTTGGAAATCCCTTCAAACGTGACGCACAGGTGAGAGAAATTCTTTTGGCAATGTTTTTATTCCTCTGCACAGGTATCAATGTTTATACTGTGTCTATATGTATATAATGTTTCTGTGTTTGTGTATGCAGGCAACCTTCTACATTTATCTGAGTACATTAAGCATCTCTTCCAACACCACTGAACTGGAAGTTAATCTTCAGCTAAATACGTCAGTATATGTAACTACTTAATAACATCAATCTATATTTTTCAAAATGCTGTGTGATTGATTTTGAAATAAAATATGTTTACTCTCAAACATTTGAGTATCTGACCTGACCTGTTTTGCAAACTCTGGTCTGACAGGACAAGTGTCCAGCTGGACTTAACTCCTGTGAAGGCAAAGGCAAAGGTGACCATCAAGCTGCAGCTTTCCTTGACAGGGTAAGAATCAAGCACGCACAAAAGATCTCGCCCCAAACACACACACATTTGCACCTAAACATTACAGTATCTGCATTTGTTTTTCTCTCTCTCCAGAATAGTACAGCCATCTCAGCTCTACTTCACAGGAAAGGTCAAAGGTGAGGTGGCCATGAAGGCTGAGAGTGACATTGGCAGTGAGGTCACACACCAGTTCAGAGTGAGTTCAAGAAAATCATTTTGTTGTCAAAGTGGCTAGTTCTGAACAGCAATCCTGAAATGTATTCTCTATTTCTTTGTATTTTTTTGTATATCTTAACAAGGCATATTAAATGTACACGTTCTACAGTCAGGTAATAAATATCATATTATCAGATTGTTCCTGTCTTCATTTGCAGATAGTTAATCTGGGAAAGCGCCTGTCAGGCTTTGGCGCCGCCACCCTCTACATCGACTGGCCAAGGGAAACAAAGACAGGGAAGTGGTTGATCTACCTGACGAAGATCAGCTCCACCGGAGTGGAGAACATAAAGTGCTCTCCTAAAGATGTGATCAACACCCTCAATGTGGTCAGTGAACGCATCCCATCAAGCTGTGTTGCTCAGTCTGCATGCATGTTTACTCTAACACATAGTAGTTAAGTGGTGTGTACTGGGAGAAGAATGAACTATGAAGTTTATAGAATTACATTTAGTTAAACAATTAGAAATGTTTAACCTAAAAGGTGGATGTACTTTTCTTCTCTGTTTTAAGGAACTAAGTCAACCTAGGATGAGAAGAGCCGCTGAAAACTCAGAGGGAAACAACGAGGGCACTATTTCAAGTTTAACGGACAAGAAATTTATAACTCTGGTAAACCCTCCCCCCCAACAACCAATTAAACTTGTTTGTTTTATAGTGTTATTTTATTGTGCTTTTGCGACCAAGAAGGTAACTTTGTATTTTCTTCTCTACCGACAGTCCTGTGGGAATGGGGCCAATTGTGTAACGATACAGTGCCCCCTGCCCGGCTTGGATAGCAATGCAGTGGTTACACTCAACTCTCGCATCTGGAACAGCACCTTCATAGAGGTAGTCAAATTTCATGTTTTTGCTTAACTATACCATTTTAAAACCAAAACATTGTTTCAATGGCTTTAAAGAAGAGTTGCAGAATGTAAAGTTAGACAACTTTTCTGTGTGGTTTGTGATAGCTGGATGTTTTCAATTGGACAAAAATAACCTTGCACTACATTTTTGTGGCCATACTATTTTGGTTACAGTATATGAATATTAAAATGATTTACTTTCCATTTTTCTTTAAAAAAAAAAAAAAAGGATCATTCTAAACTACATCATGTGGAGGTGATGGTGAAGGCCTCTCTGCGTGTTGAAAGCACAACGAAGAACACATTGCTGCAAGAGGCTGAAGCACAGGTAAATATGCGACACTTTACAGAGGTCATTATTATTAGTATATATGTTATTGCAGGGCATAAACATAAAAACAACTTGAGCTTGTGTTACATAGTATGAATCTCCTGCTGCTTCATTGCTCTCCTCAGGTGAGACTGACAGTGTTCCCAGAGAGACGAGCAGAAGGAGTGTACTCAGGAGTGCCATGGTGGATCATCGTGCTGTCCGTCCTGTTTGGGCTGCTGTTGTTGGCTCTGTTGGCTTTCCTTCTATGGAAGGTAGGACTGAATGACAAGGAGACACCCCTTCTTATTTATTAGAAACACATAAAGCACACCCACATTTTTATGGTTTGATTTGAAAAAGTCTTTCCTAAAATTGTACTTTTTGTAGAATTCTTCTACACAAACAAACAGTAGGTATACACAGCAGCACATTATGCAAATGCTCTAACAGTTTTCCTCTCCTCAGTGTGGACTCTTTGGGAAAAAGAAAGAGGATCCATCAGAAAAAGAGAGACTGACACCAAATGCATAAAAAGAGAGAGGGTAAAATTACAAGGGAATGAGTTTAACTGTTTCTATCGCTCCTTTTTGCTGCGAAAGCGCTGCTTTCCGGGGTTCACAGGGCAGTGGACAATTCTCATGCTGAGCCATGGATGCTATAATAACAGCTGAAAGATTTTTTTCCTGCTAAAAGTTCATACCCAAGAGGTTCTCACACATGTTATTATTATTATTTTATTTAATAATTATGTGTGGATCATTTCAGTTTACATGCATGGCAAGGGGAGGTGATGGCTTATAAGCACCTACTGTCATTTACTGCTGTGATGAAATACATCAAGGGGACTGTTTTGCATCTCATTCATTTTCATCCTTTTTTTCTCATTCATTTTGTTACCTATTCTGTCACTTGGTATGGAGGTTTCATTGTACCTACATTGAAGGCATAATGGAATTATTCTCTGTAAGAGGTGCAGATGGCTTGTCTACACCTCTTAATGGATACATTGCATTCAACTCTTGCTCGTGAATCTGACTAATGACATTAAATGTCAATTAAACCTATTTTTTTTCTCAATGACCTTAAATATCCTCTCCCCCTCATCAAAGTCTGAATTGTTTTTCTTCTCTGCAGTGTGGCTTTTTCAAGCGTGCCATATATGAAGATAGGATTCCAAGTTACAGTGCTGTTCGGATCAAACGGGAGGAGAGAGCAGTAAACCCTGGGTTAGGAAACTGGGAAAGTCCAGAAAAGAAGCCCTGGATGACAACATGGCAGGACAAGGAACATTACTCTTAACAACAAATGAGATCCGACAAAAAAAAAAAAAAAAAATCCTGTCGCTTACTGATCAACTTCAAATTTTGCAATTTTTTTTTTTTCTGCTTTGTTTTTGCACAATGTAGGCTGTAAATATCAAGAAAAAAGTTTGTTAAAAAAAAAAAAAAAAAAGGATAAAAAATGTGGGATTTAATACTTGATGACACATTCTCAGTCAGGGCCTGAACTGATCTTGGACAAAGTCTGTATGAAACACTGGAAGAAGAGTTGCATAGTGGGAGATGGTCCTGCACAGCTACTTTCTGTCTAAGCTTGTTATTGTATATTTACCACTTTCACAGTGTTGACTATTCAGAGGGTTGGAGGTTTTCCAGTTTCTATGTACATTTTTTCAATGTTTTTGCAGAATTGTTGGTATTTATTCTTTGTGAGGAGAACTTTGTTACTGGCCTGAAGGCTAGTGAATTGCAGAAACAGGTGACTTTATGAAAATGTTTAATTGAGAAGTGTTTTTTTTCCTCTTCATTTTCTACAATGCAGCCGCCTTAACTTTTTGATAAATCCGCCGTCTTTACATGCTAAAGGTGCCTTAATTTAAGGTTAAACAGCAACTTATTCGCAGTGGTCAAGAACTCAGTTTGTAAATAAATTGTCAATCAAGCCCCTGCAGAAGTCACATTTAAGGCTGTCAAATACAAAGAGTGAATACAGGTTTTCAAATAAAGGTTCATTATTTCTACATGTGTTTGATTAATCAAAGCAAATGAAAGAGTTGAAGGCATGAGAGAGACATTTGAAGCATTATTTATTCATACATTAAAAAAAACATTTAAAGCAAATACAGTTGTGCTTAAATCAGCACATTATTATATATTAAAATTATTGTAATTAGAATTTAAAGTTCATGATTAAAAAATAGAATAAAATGGTAAGGTAGCAAAATGTCACTTCACAAATGGTGAACCTTGGTGTTCAAGTCAACCTCCGCTCTATAGATATTTTCACCAGCTAAAACCAATAAATGTTTGATATCCTAAATGATTCATTTCAACATGTGAACAGTAGAGGATGTGTGCAATATGTAACTGGTTCTATCAACTAAACAGAAATTGTTTCAAGTGTGGTCCTCATGCTGGTGGAGCTTCTCAGACATGACCTTTACAGAAGTGACTCGGTTCTTACAGTTTTTCCACTACATCTGACATCTTTTACCGACCGCTCTTCCAAAATCATTCTGGCCTTCTCTTCATTTTCCTTATCTAAAAAATTGTTTTTCTTCTCATATCCCTCCTTCTGCCTCTTTTCTCCTTTCCTCTGTTCCTTTTCCTCACTCTTCTTTATCTCCTTCAGCTTCTTCTTGAGGGTAGACCGGTCACTGTGACTGCACACACCCAGAGCCTGGGAGAGAGAGGGAAAAAAAAAAAAAAAAAGGATGGCAAATAGGAGAACCATGGATTGTGTTCTGGTAATATTTAGGACCCGACAACAAAAACATCTAAATTGTTAACATTTTCAATCAACTGAATATATTTGCAATTAATCAACTGATTTTTTTTCCTTGAACAAAAAAAAGGTGCTAGATGAAATCTTCCTCAGGCAGTTATTACCAGTAAAGCCTTGCCGTGCATGGCCTTCAGTCACTAAATAACACCATAGTGAATGTCAAACAGCAGTGCAGATTTGCCAAAGAGATTTTTGGAAGTACTACTACACACAGTGAGGACATGACATACTTTGTCCACAAGAGAGCACACTTTTTTCCCCCCATCATGTGTATTTATCAATTTTCCTTGCCCTGTTCAAATAGACAGAACTATGCCTGTTTTTGATACTTTTATGTCAAACTCAGATCAAATCTTCAGAAATAGATCCATAAAAGAGTGATAGGAGGAAAAATGATTTAGTTAACCTATGAAGAAACAAGATCTACTTCCATGCAAATAGACAATCTTTTATTAAAACTTAAATATTGACATAAGGCTGGTCCAAAATTTTTTTATTTGCAATGGTACATTACATAAAGTAATGACCTTCTGGCAGATTGAAGGTTACGACATTAACTTAACCACGTTAGAAGGAACTCGTTACGGGTCACAAACTAAATGAAAACAGCTCAAAGGAACGGTATAAAAGTGAAATGCTTGATGTTATTTTGATTCATCAACTGAGCTGTTTACAAGTTTATAAAGTAAAAAAAACACCTCAAGATGCATTAGTGTTGTTCTCTACAGACTATGACTACAGGACAACACTGCAGAAGCTTATCCACGAATAAAAGCATGCGATTAATCGCAATTAAATTAAATAATGCATTCATTTCAGAACCGACAGCCCCAATTGACATGCATAAATATTGATGGGAGCTCTTAAATTATCCTAGGGTATGTCAGGAAAAGTCTCATCAGCAAATAGAAGAAGTTTAGATGGATTCAGTTGTTTACATGTTCTCGTGGGCTGTCACATGCAGAATGTTTAAAAGATGCACTTCAATCGTATTTATTGTCCCTAGTTGATTATTTGCCAGGTAATTATCTTTTGTAAGCTGGGCATTGAATTTAAAAACAAATATTCCTTAAAGTGTTTTGTTCTCCAACTCTTAACAACTGGATCCTTCTAGGGGGGAATATTAACAAGTTGTAATAAAGTGCCTCATGTTCACTTTCCAAGCAACACATACGATCAAATATTATGTTTGCCTAACATCATCCTAATCTTATTGTTCACCTTGAGTTTCTCACTGTCCAAGTTAAGCAGCTGCGTCCCATCAACTCCTCTGGCAGCAAACGCTGATGTGTACTGGTCCATGTTCATGGCGATTAACCACAGACACACCTGCTGGTTGTTCCAGTCCATCACAGGTCGACTCTGCCACTGGTTGTTGTTGTTGTTGGTAGGAAGTGGTTCATCATCCAATGTCTGAGGGGACACCAGAGACAAAAGGCCAGACAGAGTGAGAAGAAGAGAAATGAGGGGGAACTAATTAATGACGAGCGTTAGCCTGGGGAATAGCAGAAAAAAGTACACATTGGGGAGGAACTCAATAAAAAAGGAAAGAAAGGACAGACTCACCTCAGAAGAGGAAAAGGTAAAAGTGTAAGAGTGTCCAGAAAGAGAGTGATCAGAAACATGACCCTCCATGCTTGAGCTACGAACCGGAGAGCCAACACTCTGGAAGCAAAAGAAGAAGACCTCTACTGCCAACAGACTGTGCTACACATGTTGCATAAATGTGTCCAATTTTGAGTTTGAGTGAAAATTATAGATCAGAACAGAGAGGGAGGGCATTCCGAGAGCCTTATTTACATCCTTATTACATTTGAGCCTGTTAATCATCCATGGATCTTCTCTCACCTGATCTCTTCTACATGTGGTGGTTAGGTAGGGCAGGCTGCTGCTGGACACAGAGCGGAGTCTCTCCCTGCCTCGCTCCACCTCTACTTCCTTCTCCCTCCCTCGCTCTCCAAACCACGGGAAAGGCAGACAGGAAGGCATAGAGGTGACCGAGCCTGAAGGAGAACTTCCAACAGGCTCGTCCACCAGGTCACCACATGACGCTCTGCAGGAAAACAGTAGTTATAGATCAACTTTAAATAAAATGCTATTCAGTGCCCTTTTCTATCAACTTTCTTCACCAACGTATTGAAGAGCATGTGAACGGATTGTATGATTTATCATACGATTCCATTACTTGCCTTTTTGTTAAAAAGAAAGCGGAATAAGTGAAACGAACCAAGGTCAGTCTAGACCTTTTAGGGTGAGGGAATATTTCTCCTATTTCTCCTCGCAATTTAGAATTATTAGTATGAAGTCAGTGGCAGGTAAGATAGAGGCATTTCATGTGCATCGCTTCATAGATTATATCCCACCTGTTCGTGGACCTTTTACGATGTTTCTCACTTCTCCTCTTGTTCAGAGACTTACGAAGGCCACTACAAAAAAAAAAAAAAAAAAATGACATTACATATAAAGGAGAAAGCATGTCAACAATAAGTGTCCTGACTCAGCAAGCTACTGTGACAAGACATTAGAAATGTGCAGTGGTTGAGAGGGAATTGCACATGGTCCCTTTACAAATTAAAACAAAATAACCTTTGAAATGTTTTGGCTTTTAGAACACTAATAAAAAAGGAACAACTCTTGATTATTATTATTATTATTATTATTATGATCCCATTTTCAGTCCATAGAAAGAGACAAACTCTGCACCTGATGCCAGGAAATTTCCTTTTAGACTTTCTGGTGGCAGAGGATTTGCAGGGTGAGGGAGTGACATTGTCATTGATGTAGATAGGAGGTGTGAAGATGGAGCTGGTGGGAGGTTGAGGGCTGAGGGCTGGGAAAGACGAGGAGCTGGAGAAGTCACTCCTGCTGATCCTTTGTACCGCTGAGGATGCCGACAGTGAAACGCTCTCCTGTTTCTGAAGTTCTTCTTCCTGAAGGACAGTTTCACAGTCAGAAATTTAGTATCATTTTTCTAACCCTTTTTTAAAAAGGGGTGATGACACACACAAAACAGATCTATTTGACACACAGACATGGGCACAGGAAGGACATCACATTAGATAAAGTTACACAAGAGAAACTCAAACTCTCTAGTAAAAAAAAAAAAATGAATACATAACAGACAACAAAGAGTACTTCGAGGTTTTATTAAACACATCATTAGAATGTATCATGAGCAAAATAAATTATATATTTAGTGTGCCACTCTGTTTTTGGGGGGGATTTTGTCTGCTATGCAGTTCAAACACTTTTGTGAACTGAAAATGTATTATTTTGTGAATTTCCCTTTATGAGATTTAAATTAGAAAAATCAGGGAGAGCGATTTAATATCTAGATTAAAATGTTACAGATTAGTGTTTCCTACCCTTCAATATTCAAAACCCCCTGTGTGTTTCCAGCAAGACAATAATCCATCATATTTGTGCAGCACGGTCTTTTACCTGTTTTCTAAAGCTTTCTCGGAGTTTGTCTCTGGATGGCGGGTGACGCTTTGATTTCTGGGCCAGCTGAGCTCTGGCTATATGGGCGCTGGAGTCAAGACGTCCAGTATCAGGGAGAGGGATATGCCAGTCAGGACCTGAGACACAAGCACAGCTCCTATTTTCAGTCAAACGCACATTTTCAGTCAGGAGGTTTGACTGCTGCATATTCTAAACTAAAGTACAGATTTTGTTCCAGAAAGATTCAGTCATGTTTCCTCCAAACTTGTAAAAGTTAATGATTTTAAACTCTTTGACTTGCCACCAGCACTACAAAGTCAAAGAGACCTACAGTGACAAACACACAGAGAGTTATTAGGCTGCTTGCCTGTAGATGAAGAGTCCACAGAGTGGTTCTGTCTCTCAGGTGCAGGCTCCTTTCTCTCCAGCTGTGCTACCTGTGATAAAACATGTGAAACAAAGACTACAGGGAAAAGGCAGGATAACTAAAGCAAATCCACACAGAACTGTTAAGTCTCCTCTCACCTGGATTTGCAGTCTTTCAACCGTCTCTCTGTGCTGCTTATCTCTCTCCTCCATTTCTCTCCTTAAATCGGCTTCTCTTCGCTCCCTCTCTTCTTCTCTAAATAAAAAGAAACATTATTTAACAAGTTCAACACAAAATCTACAAGATTTAACACTCATCCAACGTTTACAATCTTAATAATTACACTCCATGACATTTGGGAATGATAAGATCCAGGTTAAATGAGAAATATCGGCATTATATAAATACCTGCTCTGGTATTCTCGCACCAGCCTCTTGGCCTTGTTGTCTGCTCTCTATCTTGCCAGTCTCTGGCTCCTGCACAGGTCTCTCTGCACATCTGGGGCCTTATCTGAGGGGCATTCATACCCTTATACCAATCATTGTCATCCAGTCTCTGGCTCAACCCTGCACAGTGTCTGGGCCTCCTGCCAATGATGAAAGAGGCTTTCATCCTCTATTTCAGCTTCCTCTCCACTCTGCCTTTGGCTCCTCCCTCATCCTGCCGCTCCTCCCATACCTTTAACTTGGCAAACAGTGAAAGAACAGATTATGTTTATTTGTATGTCTCTGTGAGAGGAAAGAAAGGGCTTACCAAAAAAAACATTCTTTATGTTCTTTCATCACTTGTCTGAAACTATTCTTGGAAATGGAGATACTGAACACTTTTTCAATCCTCTTACATCAAGAGCTTTTTGAAACAGCAAATGGAAGAATGCCCTGATATTGCACTGTTGGAAAGAAGGAAGCCACATTTTCTACTGAATGGCTTTAGCCAACCCAGTTATGTCACAGCTGTGATTACTTCAAGGCAAAAGGCAGAAAAAAGCAGGGCCGACACGCAGAAGTGTTGGAACGCGGCCCGTGTCCTAGTAGCTCCACAGCGATCCAACTTATACACAGTTAAATGGGTCAGACTGTTCCAAATGTGGATTCCAAAGCGCCATATTAATGTGAGCAGTTATAAGTTTGTATGTGTGAAAAAGAAATCTGAAGCTTTGATGAGCAACCTACCTTTGCAGTTGCATTGTGAAGTTCTGCTGCTCTTCTTTGTAGTTTAGACTGAAGCTGGAAAGAAAAAGGGCTGGACATTTTAATAAACATATTTACTACATAACATCATTATTGCAGTAAACATAACAAATACTGTCAGTAGTCTTTAAGTGCAGAAAAGGTCCTAGCATATAACTGACCTGATATACAAACACATGTTAGGATAAACTGTATAATTCATTGTTTTTTTACAAGTTTGTACGCAATGTACCTGCTGGTATTTGAAGCAGAGATGCTCGTTGTCCAGACAGGAAAGAAAAGACACATCCTCCTCTTCATCATCTTCCTCTTCTTCAGCCAATGACTCCCTCTCTGACATGCCCCCGAGGTTATCCTCATCTCCACTCTTCATAAAGAAATTAATAAATTAAGACGTTCAAACAATTTGGAACAGTAAACAGCGATCGAAAGTCTGCTCCTCTTTTGGAAAAACGCACCTGTCTGGATGTTTTATCCATTTCAAGGCTTTCATTGATCAGTCGCGCCACCTCGCTCTCCACCCCCTCCTTTTCTCGGCCAATCAGAAACCTGCAGCCGAGTAGAGAAATCAGTGGAAGCTGTGGGCAATTATCACACAGCACCAGATTGTGTGGTGGGAAAGGACTTTTTTCCCCACAGCAGGTGACCAGTCATAGCAGATCGATCACAGGTGTCGCTTATAACAATAATGATGTCACAAAAGTAAGTGAGCCAGAGCGTTGCTCGTTTATATCTGGGCTATTTTAAATAAATTAAAAAAATAATTTAAAACTCGTAAGAAAAGTTTAAAAAAAAATCATGAAGAATAATGTCATGAAGAAAAAAAATTTTGCTTTGCTTTTTGTCATAACAAAAAGGCATCATCAGTTATCTGATAGTCCAGCAGACACTTTCCTACGCTGCAATATGCGTACGAAACATTATTGGTTGAAATGTTAGTAAATAGCATATGTACTTGATAGGCTAAACATCCTAGCTTTAAAACAGTGGTATGGCCCTTTAAAACCAACTTCTAAAAGGAGATCAAATCATTTGTATCTTACTATCACAGATTGTTCTAAAAATAACTTCAATAATGTAGCAAACGCTCAGAAGTCTGCTGCTGTCACTGATCAGATGGACAAAACACATTGTCATACCTAGTCTTCAAATCACCAGCGTGAAAGACTTCAAACGCCTCTCCCAAAGTAGCAGCTAAATTTAAAGAATATTCACAAAGACACGACAGAAGAAGAGACACGAAAGAGGGCAGATGAACGGCACATTAAAATGAAACTATTGCTTACTTGACGAGGCCTGATGTGTTCTTAAGGACTGTAGCAGCAAACAGCTGGGAGACTCCAACCAAACTCAACCCGTCCACCTCCACTATCTGATCATTCACCCGAATCCTAAAGAACATTTAATATCATTTTATTAGAGAAACAATAAAACTCCAGCAAACAGGTGACTTTTGTCAAAAATACCTTCCATCTTTCTGTGTGGCTCCACCCTCAGTGACTGTCTTGACAAAAATGCCTAGTTTTTCCAGTCCCTGGTCTGCACCTACACCCATTCCTATGATACTGATTCCCAGACCATCATCACCTGCAAGGAAAGAAATGTGGACTCTATCTTAAAGTCGGCATGGGGAAAACACTGTGCAGAAACAAACAGCTTGTAGTGAAAAGAGGGAAATAATATATTTTTCAGGGAAACACAGTACTTGAAATAATAGTTAAATATTCATTTATCATGATTATTTATTAGTTGGTTATTTAGTTGTTTAAATTAAAAAACTGGGGGTGGAAATGTTAAGCTTAACATTCAATCAATGTTAGACTAATAAAAGGATGTTTGAATGCTTTTTGGCAGGCATCTGCTCCAGACAAAGATGTTTTCTGAAGAGAATGATATGTGAGCCAGAACATCCTTTGCCTGATAACATAACTTATGTGTTGAGTTGCTCGCCACAACTAGAATTTCCTCTTGTAAATGGGACACTGTGGTGTTCCATGTAACGCTTTTTCTGAGTTAAAATGTTGTCTTGTTTAGCCCTACCATCTACCTACCATCAAATGGGTGCAACTCTCCCTCGAAATCTCTCGATAATGCCTTGAATTTGTACCTCTTATCAAACAGAGGTGGTGCAAAATTTCAAATATTATTTTCTGGTATTTAGATCTGGTAAATCTTGGGACTGTCTGTTAGGCATGTTATAATGAATATGCAATACTATACCACCAGACAAACTAGGAGGCACTGCATGTCAATATGCAAGGCAGGCAACTGCTTGGGGCCCCAGGCCAGTAGTTGGCCCCAAGGGCTGACAAACCTTAAATCACAGCAGTGCCTCAAAATGTGCAAATTTTGCAATGACAGTAGAAAACCTCCCTAAGGGGAGCCCACCTGAAAACACTGCCTCTCTATTCCCTGCTAGTTGTCCCATGCACTATTGCAGAGAAATCATCTGTGTTGGAGTGAAAAAAAATAATGAATGCTGGTTTGAGGGGCCTCCAATAATTGTTTTGCCTAGGGCCTCAACATATTCTATAATCGCCACTGGACAAACTTACTGTTGTTGATCAACCAAGTTATATTATGTCTTCTTAAAATCATTAACAGGAAAGTCAATTGATATCTGGATATTTTAGCTACAAAACAAATCATTTTGTGTTAAGTGTGGAAGCAAAGTGTGTGTGGAGGCGCGCTGGTGGCGCAATGGTTAGGGTCCCATGTATTGAGGCTGTCGTCTCGAGCGGGAGGCCCGGGTTCACCTCCACCCGTGGCCTCCCTCCGCACGTCATTCCCCGCTCTCTCTCCCTGGTTTCCGACTCTATCCACTGTCCTATCTCTGCATTAAAGGCACAAAAAAGCCCAAAAATAAATCTTAAAAAAAAAAAAAAAAAAGCTGTGTGTGACTGTTTATATCAGGGGTGTCCAAAGTGCGACCCGAGGGCCCTTGAGGGATTTTTTGCGGCCCGTGACTTCAAATGAAGAATCAGAAGATTTTGGCCCGAGGCTTGATTAAGATTGGCACATTATCTTATTTTTCTTTTTTATTGTTAACAAGGTCTGAACAATATTCCTAAAATAAGAATTTTTTTGTAAACTATGAAAAAAATACCTATGCAAAGTTTTTGCAAACAAGCGGACTGTTGTTCAACCATTTAATGACCTGAGCTAAATGCAGAAAGCTTTTCCAAAAAAAATGAACCACCTTACAGGCTTGACTCTGAGAAAATAAACAAATAAAGTAGAACGAAGACTACAAAGCCTTACTATTTTTTCAGCTACATTTTAAAAAAAACAAAATCTGCGGCCCGCGGCGATTCTAACACGACAGTTTTGGCCCGCAAGAAAAAAAGTTTGGACACCACTGGTTTACATGATTTCTTTTCTCTCTGGGTTCCGCTGTGAACAGAATATGCACCTTTTTCTATCTCCACTGGAAAGACGTTCATCCTGTCCACTCTCTTCTCCAGCTCAAACTCAGCAGAGGCAGACACTGGGTCAATATCCTCATTGTGTCTGTCGTACTCTGTGTTAGAATAAGTGTTGTACACCTGAAAGACAGCAATAATGGAATGCTTTGAGTAACTTAAAAGGCCTGAGCTTACGTTGACACAATACATCCAAGACAGGTCTTCTCAAGACACCATTTCATGCACTGATAGCTAGTACACGTTTATCTCAGAGAACACAGTGAAGCCACTGTCACAACACAACACTGTTTATCTGACAAATGTGACAGTCTTAAGAGTCAGAGAGAGGAAGAGCAAGAGCAAGAAATGCAAATGTAAAGCATAATTAAAGGATTGCTACAAATGATAGTGTGCATACACAACTTCCAATATCTGAAACTAAAATAACTTGAATGAATTGAACCAGTTTAATGCCTTACACCCACACAGGATTGCATTCTGAGGGGAGTGCTGACAGAATGAAACATGTGGGATCTTGCCTTTCCTCCTCCTACAATGGATTAGAAACATGGCTTTGGGCTAACACTTCTCGCACATTGAGTCAAACTTCAGCTGGAAAGGACAGTCACACAAATCTACACATAAAGAGCATCCCTAAATGCATGGATGTGGAGAGAAGTAACCCTAGGGTGTGAATAATGGATGCTGAAAGCACCAGTTTTTATTATTTGTATGCATCTTACCTTGATCGGTGCTGATGAGAACTTCACCTTTTTGTTTGAAACTTCCTCTGCATCCTCATCAGACAGTTCAGGTACACCAGGAATTTCCATGAAGTCATGTAAAAACGGACTTCCTGCAGGAATAGAGTTTTCCACTTCCTTTTTCGGTGATGGCTCAGGCACAAAAGCCTCGTTCTCAATCCCAAAGACAGCAGTAGATTCTGTTCGGTCCTCTTTGCCTCCTTCACGGCCTTCTATGCACTCCTCTTGCTTGACCTCCTCCAGGTCAGATGTTGAAACGTCCCCACTCTCACTTTCCTCGTCTTCTCTGGTCCGACTCTCTTTGCATTCCTCACCTTCTCTGCTTTCACCTTTCCCCTTTCCCACAGTGTACCACTCAACCTCGTTGTCCTCCCCATGCATCATGCCTCCCTCTTTCCTGTCCTCCACTCCTGCATCTGTCATTTTCTCACTGCTTTCTCCCCGTTCTGTTGACTTCTCAGGCCATGCAACAAACTGTCTGCTGTGCCCCTCCCATTGTTCGTTTACCTGCCGATACTTGTCTCTTCCACCTTCCCCGTCAAACTTATTCTCTCTTTTACACAACTTGCTGGCTGGTAACTCTTTCGGTTCTTCGCCTGCTCTTGACTCAATTCGGTTTTGCGGTGCATAAGGTCCACCCGGTGTTATTTCAATGTTTGGCTCCTCAAAAACATCATCATCTAGCTCTGTCACACTTTCTCCTACAACTCTGTTTGTATTCTTTCCCCCCTCATCCTTAAGCCAGTATTTGGCCTTTTCTTCTTCGTTCTCATCACTCTCCGAGGACTCATTCTTTATGTCAATTAACTCTGCCCTCACTGGCTGCTCAGCTGTTAAGCAAAGGGCATTCTTTGCCTTTTCTTCCTCTACTTTTGAATCGGAAATTTCATCAGTTTTCACAGGATTGGAAGAGGAAGATTTGTTGGATGCTTCACCAGGGCTGTTCAATACAGGAGATTTAGGGTGACTTGTCGTCAAGGCCGCTGCAAGTGGCTTATTGGAAATATTTATGATGGCAAGGTTAATTGATACCTCTTTATCAAAGCGAACCTCTTCTATGTGCGTCCTTTTCCCACTTGCCTCTCCCTCTTTTTCCTCCTGGCTGCCTCCTCCTCTCCTGTCCACCTCTTCTCCTTTCTGGTCTTCCATCCCCTTACTTCCTCTGCTGGCAACTCCTTTCATAACCTGCCCTCCACCACTCCAACTTCCATAACTTTAGTCTCAAACAACCTCCGGGTTACAGAGAACTTCTGAGAAAGTGCAGCTCTTTCAATATCTGTGATCTCCTCCGATCTGGAAGGTTTGTCTTCCAGAGTTGAGGAGCTGCCGAGTGATTGTCTGGATCCAGAGAAAGGGGAAATCTGCAGCTGTAGAATAGGATTATGGGGAGAAAGCAGAGGAGTGGAGCCAGAACTAAGAAGTGAACTGCCATCTTGTTTCAGCTGTTGGCTGTCCATTTGCAGGAAGATGTTGTCTCTGATCTTGGTCCCCCTAGTGCTGGAGACCCTTCCTCTGCTGATGCTGCTGCTGGTGGTGGTGTGGGGCATGATGGGATTTAAGAGGCTAGATGGCAGCCTGTCAGCAGCTTTTGACCCCGGTGTTAGACTGGTCCCAGTGTCGAAAGAACATTTGATGGCGTGAAAGTCAGACTTATAGGTTATCCTGTGAGGTGAGGCACTGCGGCCTTTGCTGTCCGTCCGCATCATCTGGAAATTGAGGTTTTCTGGAGTGAGAAAACGGTGGCTTCGCTGTGGAAGAAGCTTTCACAGCAAATGGAAGCACCTGTGCAAAAGGGCCGAGCAGGTAGATAATGTTTGAGGATTTCGCTGGTTCAGGGGAATAGCAGGGGAAAGGCAAGAGAACATGCAGGATGAAAGGCTGGTATTTTTTTTAAGATATTACTGCACTCGTGTGTTGACTGCAGGAGAGAAAGGCAGGCTCTTGGTTTGGAAACGTCATCCAGGTGTTTTAAAAAAAAATCCACCACCATTACAACAGGAGACTCCTAGAAGAGTGGTTAGAGGAAAGGCAAAGTACAACAGAAGGTTCATTAAAGTGAACTGACACCACCCAGCAGGCCATTAGTGCTAACTTGATTACTGCCGAGGCAAACTATCGAGAAGCTTAAGTTACTGGTGACTTAAACCTTTCAAAGTGAAATAAAACCACCAAGTTCAAGCCTAAGTAGCCTACTCACACTGACTTCGAAAATGTAGGCTTACAGGCAGCGTTTGTCTGGCTCCGTCGAAAATTAAAAAGGTACTCCTGAGGTGTTTCTGTTTCCCTGCTTGTTAATATTCACCTGTTGGCAGCAGCAATAAAGTCCTCTGGACGACCGCTGCTTTCAAGTGCTGTCGGCAAACTGACGCGTAGACTATAGGCTACCATGAATAAATAGGCATTTTCATTTTATAATAGGCTACTCATGTGACGTTGTAGTAGGGTAATATCTTGTCATGCTACATTAGAAAAAGGCCGTAATTAGAGAATCTTTGGTTTATGTTTATTGAGCTTGCAATTGAACGTCACTCCTCTGTTCTTCAGCGTCCTATCAGGCTACACCTGACGCTAGTTATGAATGAAACAGCGACAGCAAAATGTGCAACGGCCGGTACTGGAGTTTACGACAGCAAGTGAAGGCAGCAAATCTCACCAACCTGGTAGTAGTGCGCGCGCAGTTTAAAGGTCGTGACAACAGTTGGGCAGCACCTCTGAGTGAGACAACTTCGCCCAACAATTCATCGTTTGATGGCAAATGTGAGGTGTGTGGTGTCTTGCCACACTATTCTTTAAAAACGACAAGCCTTGTTGTCCCTGTTTTGTTCACAGTCAGCCGCTGCTGCCCGTTCCCTCGCTGTGATAAACACAGGCAGATGGCGACTCATGTCTCTTAATACTGTAAATGGATTATCCTCATGTAATCCTGTGTAAACTACTCTAGTAACTGTGTAAACACTGACGGGAGTGAGTACCAGCACGGGGTCAAGGTAGTCCACATTTGGAAGGCCAATCAGTAGGCTACATCTGTGTCCTGTAGTCTAATTGATTTACTTTAGTTCAAGTTATTGGCTGTTGGTGTTAGATTGCTATTTGTCGTTTTGCCTAAAGTAAAGATGCCAATATTATGCTATTGGTATCATCAGGTTACAGATGTTATTTGTTGTATCTCCACAATTGACACATGTTGTCATCATATTGGCTACACTGCTGGATTGCTAGCATATCAAACATGCAGGTTGCCATACATTCACTTACCTTTTACTTGTCTTCCAGCACCACTGCCAGTGTTGTCATCCTCTTTGAAAACTGATGTCCCTGTAGCAGAGTCTCCCTTTGGCTCAGAGGTAACCTTGGTGAGAGTATTCACCTGTGTGCATGATGCAGGTTAGTGCAGTCAGATATATCTCTTTGTATCTACCTGTGTGTGAGAGAGGAGAGCAGTGATGCAGCACCTGCTGATGAATGTGTGTGTGCCTTCCTACCTGTGTATGTGTGGTGCCAGTGGGTGAGTCGGTGCGGTAGCTATGTCTGTCTGTGATGCTGGGTTGTGTGGCAGATGGACTGGACCGGAGTGGACTGGACTGGACTGATCTGTGCACAGCCAAATAACAGTTCTGCTTGCTGTGACCTGGATCTGACTGGAGACCATTGTCCCAGGTGGCACTGGGACCTAGTTGATATAAATACCGGCCAATCACAAAAGCCTTATTCTGAATGAGGCTAACCAAAAGAGGGAGGGGAAGGAGGTAAAGTGAATTGAAGTAGTAGATGAAAAATGAGGGAGTGATGTCAGGGTGGGTGGCGAAGTAAATTGAGAGAGGTAGGGTCTCTGAAAGACAGTAAGTGAGGCACCGCAGACGGAGACAAAGGATGGAGGCAGATATTTAACCTAGATTTGGAGAAGAGAAATTTAAAAACATGTGACTTGAGCGATGATTGTGGATAAAACACTAAATGACAGGTATAATATCAGCAGAGAAATTAAATGAAATCCTTTGTATTTGAACAAGCAGAGAAATTCAGAATCTATGCCAAGTGCAATGAGAAACACAGACGTCTTTGTACCCTGACATAATCCTCAACTTCAATTTCTCTCAGCACCAGCAGCAGCAGGTCACCTTGACTTCTACAGAAGGCTCACATAAGGATTTCCTTCTAAATATTGAGCATGATTAAAGCCATGTCTACATATTCACACTGCAAGTATTCACAACAATGCCATTCAGTTTATCACAGTTTGTTCACTAGGATGATGATTCATTTATTAGGTGGAGCGATGATAATGCATGATTTTTCTGAAGCTTTTTTCTTTTGCTAACTCCACCTTTTATTCACCGCCATCAAATTGTATTATTTGCTTTCACGCAAAGCAAATAAACAGACGATTGAGGCACTGTAACATTTTTCATGCTGTCCATCAAATGTATTAGCAGCTTACTGGTATATTGCCTGATACCGCCCATCACAGGCACAAATGAGAGGTACTGAGTGAAAATGAATAGCGATTGCGGTTCTATTTTTAGAGCACACTCCTTTTCAGGTAAGCTTAATGTGGCCTACATGAGCGGTTATAGAAACACAATAATTTCCAATCACTTCATAATCGTGGATAAGATACAGAAATCAATTCAATCACAGCAGCAGCCAACAAACATAAGACACACCACTTAGCGATCCAACCTGAAAATGCATTTAAAAGACCTAGACTTGGCCACTCATCCAACCAACCACACACGTGCTCACGTATACACAAACACAGGGAAAAGTATGATTGGGAGTTAGGTTTTTATTTTTTTGTTTAGTTTTTAATCAGAATCAGAATCAGCTTTATTGGCCAGCTTACACACACAAGGAATTTAACTTCGGTGAACTGTGCTCGCTTATGTACAAGTATAACATTAAATATCAACTATAAACACCATAAGCAAAGACTAATATGTGCAAGACTAAATAAGAAACAGTGCAGTGGTGAGTAGGGCAAGAGATGCTGAAGTAAACATGATAATAAAATATGCAGTTATGTGACAGATGGGTTAATTAACATGAGGTAGAGTATTCAGTATTTAAATTTAAAAAAAATAATAGAAGAAAAATGTTAAAGATGTTTATTGCAAGTTTCATTAAGAGACAATCTTGTATTTATTAGGTCTATTAATAATATTTGCTGATATCACAAAGTATGCAATGATGTGATTTTGATAAAATACAATTCTAGAGCCTTTGATAGATTAAAGTCAATATAATTTTCCCATATCATTAAAAATCAGCATGACAAAATGTCTAGAAGAAAAGTATTATTTGATTTCCCGAACAGACATTTAATCAAAAAATGTCTAAGCTTCTAAAACAAGACAAACAATTCTATACCTTCTGTCTTTCATTACTTATGCACATGTATGATGTGAAAGTGCAAACTTTCATCCCTCTAGGGCCAATGCAGTGTTTTTATTCTTGTAGGTCAAGTTCAGGTTTGTAGTGCTCTAGAATACTTTATCCTGTAATGGAGTTGCTTTTTTTTGTGGCATGGCCTTTGTTTGTTGACCCCTCCTTTTTTTTTTTACCCCAAAAATATCCACACTGCTAATTTGTTCCCAAGAGGGGAGTTGATATTAGAGCAGGTATTATCTAGCTATTTCTTGGCTGCTTGCCATTATCTACCTGGCGCAAGGAGCTACGCTTTGATGGAAAAAAAATATTTACACTGTTAGTTTAACAGTCTAACAAGGCATAAAGGACAGATGCTTTCTTTAGATGGATATTCTGACAGCTGACAATATCAGATCTGTGTGTGTGCGCGTGTGTGTCTGTGTGCGTGCGCGTGCGTGTGTGTGTGTGTGTGTGTGTGTGTGTGTGTGTGTCTGTGTGCGTGCGCGTGCGTGTGTGTGCGCGTGTGTGTGCGTGCGTGTGTTGTAGGCAGCATTTGGCAGACAGTCAAGCCCCATATGTTAATCTGTTCAGTGAACCATGTTTAGAGTTTCACAAAATCAGGAGGGAATAGCACTCATTCTTCCAAACATTTAAATGCAGATACACAAAAATATACACACACACACACACACACACACACACACACACACACACACACACACACACACACACACACGCACATTCTCCACTCGACACATGGCTGGGATGAACACGCAGGTCAGCAGTTTGAGTGTAAGCAGTGCGGCAGCTCTGCACACTTTGTTTATAGCATGCTGTGAATCCGTCTGAGGTGTGGTTTATTATAGCTTAAGTGTTGGCGCAGCTATGAGTCTATAAACAATGATACTGCCACTTTGTGTCTACTTTGTGTACTGCACATTTATTATTTTAACATAAGCAAAGCAGAATAAAGTCTCTCACCAGGGTCTAACATGATCATCATTCTGGGATGAGCTTTGGAAGGATTTTCTTGTCCTGCAGAAACCTAAGGCACACATACAGATGTGCTGTTTTATTTACTGCAGTATAGACACATTAGAACGCTTAACTACTGTATGCTGCCTCATTGTTTTCTATTGATTGATTTATCTTTATGGTTTTAATTAATTAATTAATTAATTATATATATGATTATTATTAATTATTATACTTATAGTATATTCATTTTCATACTATGTAGTAATTAAGCTGTGTATATAGTAATTAAGCTCACACATACACACACGCGCGCACACACACACACACACACAGCTGCAACAGGTGCACACACATTCACTCATTGTAATTAAAAATGATGCAGTAGAGCTTAAGATTAGCATAATGTGCACGATGATAGAAGACCTGCAGTGTGAACAAAGTTGGAGAAAGTTGAGCTGCAACAGTGATTTTTCTTCCGCCCTTCATCCTCATTTATCAAGTTCCCAGTCCTTCTCTTTTCTATCTGACCTGCTATTCTTTCCCAGAGTTGACACAGAACTCAGAGTAAATCCCTAACTTCCTCATTCATCTTCTGTTCTTCCCTTTCTCCTTTTCCTGTTGTCATTTGGTGCATGCACAGGATGTAAGAGATGGTTTTAGGCGGTGCTGGATGCTAAAAAGCCTCTCTGCTTTTCAACCACTCTCCCTTTCTCTCTTTCGCTCCCACTCTCCCTCTCTTCCTTTCTTTGCTGCGGCAGCTGCAGTCATCCATGTGACACACTTCCTCTCTGCTTCTGCTGCCTCTCTCTCATCACTTGAGATTGAAACAAAACAAGCGAAACTAAAGCTGCTTTGTTGATGTTTATAAACAATTTCACAGTGTTTCTTACATTGATCTTTATTTTAGGCACAGCAGAGACTCTGAATGCAGAAGCACCATTATAAGCAGCTAGTTTATTCAATGTGGGCTAATATGGATTACTCAAAACCAACCACACTGCTTACTGTCTTATCACAAGATTTTGGCCTGTTTGTATTTATGATACTTTCATGTTAGATTTCTGCTTTGTTGGACTGCATTGCACTGACTGTGATTTTCATGTAAAAGGAAGAATAAGATGTTTCTTTACTGCACACAGTGGTGTGCCGGGCTCAGTATTTTTTTGGGCCAAGTTTCACAGTGTAAATGTCCTTTGACCCTAAATAGCCTGAATTTTTAAGAATCCCCAGAGTTATGTAACATGACTCTTTGGTTTTACACTGGATGGATTACTGAACTGGACTACTGGGCACACTGCCAGAGGACAGGGGGGGTCAGCGGCCTCCTTGTCCAGAGCCTCTGTTTTAAGTGTCAAACCTATTTTGTTGAAAAGTCAATAAAATGATACACTCATCAAAAAGACACTCTGAACAGCCACAACTGACACATTCAACCAAAAAGAAATGAAAAATACTACAGACACCAAAATGGTTTTTAAAAGACACAAAGCAACAACAGAGGAACACAATGAGAAAGCAACAATGACAAAGATAATGACAAAGCCACACAAAATAACCTCAATGAGATGAAAACTTGAACAAAATTAGGACAACAACTACAAGCAGAAATAAAATGCTTTAAACGACACAACGAGTCAGTTGTGATGCGAGACAGTGTTTGTTCTAGTGCTCAGATACACTGCGTTAACTCAGATATAGAATTGATATATCTCTGGATCCAACTAGGACCCACACACTAGTTGGGGATACAATTTTAGCAAATTTGAAACATGCAAGCGTTTTTTTTTGCAACATGAGTTAAGCCCTTTGCCTGCTGTTCAAGCAAGTTTAGCTGATCAACTTGAGTGAAGCACAAACAACCCTAAGGCAAGGCAAGGCGAGTTTATTTATATAGCACATTTCAACAACAAGGCAATTCAAAGTGCTTCACACAAGACAAAAGCATCATGACAGAGGAAAGAAAAGAGAGATTAAAATAGAAAATTTAAAAATCACTGAAATTATTCAATCTGAAAATATGTTTGAATAAAATAAAATTAATTTAAATAACAAATAAAAATAAAAGTAAAGAAATTAAAAGACTTATAATAATAATAATAATTACAGTGCAGAGTACACTTTTAAAATCTTATTAAAGCTGTTTAATTAAAGGCAGCTGTAAACGGGTGTGTCTTCAACCTCGATTTAATAGAGCTGAGAGTTTCAGCAGACCTGCAGTTTTCTGGGAGTTTGTTCCAGATATAAGGAGCATAGAAACTGAGCGCTGCTTCTCCATGTTTGGTTCTGACTTTGGGGACAGAGAGCAGACCTGTCCCAGACGACCTGAGCGGTCTGGATGGTTTGTAATTAATCAGGAGGTCACTAATGTATTTTGGCCCTCAACCATTAAGTGCATTATAAACCAGCAGCAGGATTTTAAAATCTATTCTCTGACAGACTGGGAGCCAGTGTAAAGACCTCAGAACTGGACTGATGTGATTCATTTTCTTGGTTTTGGTGAGGACTCTAGCAGCAGCTTTCTGGATCAGCTGCAGTTGTCTCACTGATTTTTTAGGCAGACCTGTTAAGACATTGTGACAGTAATCAAGACGACTGAAGATAAAAGCATGGACAAGTTTTTCCAGGTCCTGCTGGGACATAAGTCCTCTAATTCTTGATATGTTCTTCAGGTGATAGTAGGCTGATTTTGTAATTGTCTTAATGTGGCTTTTAAAATTGAGGTCTGAGTCCATCACTACGCCCAGACTTCTTGCCTGGTCTGTGGTTTTAAGTCTTACTGACTGAAGCTGCGTGCTGACTCTTAGTTGCTCCTCCTTTGCTCCAAAAACAACAACCTCAGTTTTGTGTTTGTTTAACTGGAGAACATTTTTGCACATCCACTCAATGATTTGCTCTATGCATTTACCCAGTGCTTTTATGGGACCATGGTTGCCTGGCGACATTGTAATATATATTTGTGTGTCGTCTGCGTAGTTATGATAACTTATTTTATTGTTTTTTATAATCTGAGCTAGTGGGAGCATGTAGACGTTAAACAGAAGAGGCCCCAGGATGGAACCTTAGGGAACTCCACAAGTAATTTTTGTTTGCTCAGATTTGAAGTTACCTATAGACACGAAGAAGTCCCTGTCCTTTAAGTAGGATTCAAACCAGTTTAGTACTGTGCCAGAAACTCCCACCAAGTTTCCAGTCGGTCGAGTAATATATTGTGGTCAACTGTGTCGAACGCAGCACTGAGATAAAGTAAAACTAAGACTGAGGTTCTGCCATTGTCTATGTTTAAACGGATGTCATTAAACACCTTAACCAGAGCTGTCTCAGTGCTGTGATTTGTCTAAAAACTGACTGGAAGACATTGAAACAGTTGTTATTTAACTGTTGAAAAACAGCTTTTTTGATCATTTTATTTAAAAAAGGAAGATTTGATAAGCACACTGCCCCCATTTGCAAATGCACTGTATGCAACGCTTGCCTATCACTAAGGTGAATCACAGTTAGCCACTCTGCTGAATTCTTAGCACCTGAGCTAAACACAGAGGAATTTTGGAGACGGGGTTCTTTTTCTGCTCTGTGAGCTGCACAATAAATGCTACTTGTAGTGTCATGGTGATATAAACAGGTGCAATAAACACAATACAGAGAACTGAAACAAGCATGGAGTATGTATTTGGTTAAGGTGCTTAAATTCATACTCATTCATTCACCCATCAGATGGAGCCCTGAATACATCAACCATGCGCTCACAACTGGCTAACGGATGAAGCATCAGCTAGATAGTGTTGTTTCAGAATCTTTGGTGTCAATATGGGGTTTCGACTATAAATATGATAAATCCTTGTTGTGGAAAACAGACACTGAGGAATATAAAGGAACAACTGTAAGCTAGTATACACACTATTTCTTTATGAATCTCATACCCTCTTCATATATTATTATTGTAATTATTATAATATTGAACAATGTAGCCTATCCCTCAAGTCTACTACCCACCCATGTGCACACCACTTGTAGAAATATGCTATTAAAGCACCTTCAGTTTTACCAGCCAAAGTATTGTCATAGTATTGATATTGTGCATGAAGTATTTGATCAAATATTTAGGCTACTAATAGGCTATTGCATGCCTCTATGGATTAGTGTGTTACAGTAGGCTTAATCGAAAAAGCTTGTGTTTATTAGTCCTTATTCAACATACAATTGTCCTATAGCCTACAGTTTTAGCTTACTATTTTTCTAAGTATAGCACTGCAGTGAAATTAAGTGTCCTGTTGTTTTATGCGTGTCCTTCCTTTGCCTTAAAAAAAAAGGCAACTCATCTGCATGCCATGATGAAGGCAAGCATCATCATCATCATCATCAGCGGCACATCAGCCTGCAGTTGTGCGAGGCAGCTGGAGGCAGAGGGGCGGGGAGGGGGCGCAGCCGGAGCTCACATGCATTTAACGACCACCGACAAACCGGGAAGCCTCCTCCGGTAGCATCGCAGCGCTCACCGACGCACACACACGCACACACACGGCCAGGGAAGATGGTCGCGGTGCAGACGTCCCCCAACTCGTCCCCGTTAGCGGAGTGGATCTGCTGCCTGGATAAAAGGTGCGTGAATAAAATACACAGCGAGAAACAAATCTCATGCCGTCCATCCACGAACACGCACACGCACAACGAGCTGTGACCGTGTTTCTCTTCATTCACCTGCGTCAACGTGATGAATCGCAACCGGCGATCGCTGCGTGTGCAGTGTATGCAACAAAGGCATTATTATACGCGCTGTTGTAAGCCTGCCTATATTTTATTGTCATTTCTTTTTATTTATGTACCTCCCATTCACGCGGCTGTAGTTTGTGACAATAGTCTACACCGTATTTGTTTGAAATAGGCTATTCCTGTTTCTGTGTGTGCTCGGTCAAAAAGGCGTTGGTGGCTTCGAGGGGATGTCTCTGCAGCGCATTGGCTGTGAGGTGGCTGTTAAGACGCACATGGTTTATGTCTGTCAGCTTAAATCAAATAAGCATATATTATTAAAATACTACCAAGGCACGGCGTGTTTGCAAGTGGTTTCCTCGAAGTGGGGATTAAAAGCAGGACAATTCTTTGTTTTTTTTCATTGTTGTCACAGTGCTGCATGTGTGGCTGAAGGCTACATTTCTCGTTAGAATAACTGAGCCAATTTACAGTGTTTTATTATCCACTCTTAAACCTTTTTTTAAAAAATCCAGACGCTGCACTATGCCGACAACCTTTTTGTCCACGCTGTGGGCTGTCTGTCCAGTAATGAGTATGGTGCTGCAGGCATACTACTGTGCCAAAAAAAGCAAATCACACCTCAGAGTGCTTCGATAAATAAACAGGAAATGGCAGTGTACATGTTTATTGCTGTGTATATGATACATGTAAAACAAACAATGCCATATACAGTATAAGACAAGCATCCCAGAGCTCCAACACCCACACATACTGAACACACCTCACCATGACACATCCTCATGTTACCATTGGCAACCTGAAGCTACCATCTTGTCTTATCATCTTCACCTGTGATGAGAGTGGATGCATGATCTCAATACATTCCTCTGTTGCACATGGAAGTGTAGGAACGCAGTTTAGTTTTAGTTTTTGATTACTTTTCCAATTAGCCCATTTAGATATCTTCAACATGTTTTTTTGGGGGGGGACTCACCCAAAGATATTTATTAAAAACTAAATAAAAGATCAAGGCTCAAACAATGAATAAAATTGAATTATGTCTCGGTTGATATGCCCATTTTAACAGAAGAAATAAAGATGTTTACAGCTATGTTATGGACAACGCTTTTGCTCGCTAAAGCTCAGGTCTTGGTTGGTAAAAGCTGTATGGGAGGGGAGACTTTTTTGTTGTCTCAGCCATTTGAATTACATTGAGGAAAATAATTTTGTATAATTATTCATATTTCGCCGTGTGGCTGATTTGACTGACAGGTGGGCACGTTACAGCTGTTTGCCAGGAGGCTACAGGCCTGCCTCAAATCCATCTCTTTGCCTGTTAGATTGACCAAAAGTCAGGTGGAGCACTTCCCGTATGGGGCCGTCATCATGGGGCGTCATCATGGGGCAGTATATACTGTATACTGCATACTGAGTTCAACAGTACTATGTAGTATGACTGCCAGTCGTCAGTTATTTTGCAGTATGCTTGGTCCCGGTTAAACTGGTTTTACTCAGCTGTGAATAATTTGTAGTAATAGAGCAAGCCAAGGACCCTGTAATTGCAGCTGCTTGTCCAGCTGTGGCACATGCACTGTACAGTCTACAAAGCAGGAAAATCTGAGGTGGTAAGACTTATAAATATATGAACATGTTTGTTATTGGTTCATAATGTGGCAAGATATTCAGTCACCGCCACCGATGAGTTCAAACAGCTGCGCTCCGGCATTTTGATCTCTGACCTGGCACTTTGCATTGTGGGAAACAGTACACGAGGTAGACTGGTCCAATGCATACTGTACAATTTTACCAAATCAGTATGACATCCTGGTATTTTTGGCATACTGCAGATCTCGCAGTTGTTCACATACTGCATAATGCATTTTGGCCAAATCAGTATGTACTAGTAGTATAGTATGCGGTTTCGAAAACAGTCTATGTCCATGTTTCATACAAAGTATGCGTTAAGTGAAATAAAAATATTTTTGGGAGGGTCTTGATTCTATCAAAATCCAACAAAAGAGGGCGCCTGTTGGCAATTGGATTGAGGTTGAACACCTCATGTACAGAGGCTGTAGTCCTCGAGGCGGGGCAGCGCCGGTTCAACTCCAGCCCTCTGCACCTTTCCCGCATGACGTTTCCCACTCTCTGCTACTGATTTCCTTTTCTATCCACTGTCCTGTACTCTATAATAATCTCATGGAAAAACAAAACAAAAATCCAACGAACAGCCTGGTTCAGATGTAGCTAGGCGTCAGTGAGTGCAGTCTTGGTTGTAAAGATTAGACGGGACAGCATCTTAATGTGGAGCACTCAGAGCTCCTCAGCCATGCACCTCCTGATTCAATCAATATCGAGCAGAGTGTGTGTGTGTTTGTGAGCTTTCATCTACTGTAACTGTTGATGTGAGCAAATGAAGAAGAGTGAGAGGGTGAGGCAGGGGAGAGGCTGGAGAGAGAGGGAGGTGTAAGGAGGGGCAGAGGTTAAGATACGACTGTCTGTGATATATCTTTCCAAAGACATTTACTGCCACTGGGTGTGAAGTATGGGGCGTGAGATCTGATTTGTTTTGTTTAGTGTTGCCCCCAGGCAGGTCCAGTCTTCCTACACACACACACACACACACACACACACACACACACACACACACACACACACACACACACACACACACACACAGCACCAGTCCACATGTCAGCAGAAGTTCAAGTTTTAGATAACATATCTTGACCACTTCGAACTATTTTCAGAAATGTGGGTTCATCGACAATCATTCAGAGCTGGACGAGTCATTTAATGAGTAAACTGGTCAATGATAAATAGCAAACTATGCTGCCTCATTTCATGTTAAAATTCAGTGTCTTAACAGGATCTCAGGTTGTTAGTGGTGTTGATGGATCTATGTGTGCGTGCTGTTGAAGAGTCTAACTGCTACATTAATCTGCCAGCCTGGGAAATCTGTTTGTGTTGATGCTCGCTGACATTTTGGATGGTTCAACCTACAATTTATTTGTCTGGAAACAGAGAATTCTCCCAGATGGATGTTTCCTGTAACAATCTGCACAACCTTCTGGTGTCTCTTGATTTTCTCTTCAGTGATGTCTTTCCGGTCAGTTTGTAAATCCTGCTTATGAGTGTGTATGTGCGAGTGTGCGTGTTGTGGTTGAAAGCTGAAATCTCTGCTGACATAGATAGTCCAGGAGGGAAGAGAAGGCTGAGGAAGGGAGAAGTCAAGGAAAGGAAAGGACAAAAAGGGAGGATGAAAGAAAAGTAAGGCAAGGTGAACAGCTCTCAGGTCACATCCATCTCACACCAAACTGTGTTTCAGATTCCCTCGGACAGACAGAGAGCGAGCAAAGCACAGGGGGACAAGAGGGAAGAAAAAACAAGGCCTTAACTGGGGGATTATAACTGACAGATCTTAACAGTTTCCCTGTAGATAGATAGGTGAAGGTTGAGGCTGGTTGCTCCCATCCAACCCTGCAGAGTTAACCTTCCTGCCTCTCCCTGTTGTTGCGTGTGGGAGTCCACCTGTCTAAACCATTAAACCAGCTTACACTGGGATGTGACGCTCTGTCTGAGCACTGAGGGCTAATACGTAGGCAGTGGAATGATGGGAGGATGAGTCAGAGGCAAAAAAAGGAAGAAAAAGATGGAGAGAATGAAAGAAAAGACCTGTCTGTAATGGCCCCGAGCTCATGGCAGATGTTGAGGGACTGGAGGATGTGTTGTGCAGTTCAGCCCTTTAGGCGAAGTCTGTGTTTATTTGGGAGAATATGGGTATTATGGGAATATGGGTGCAAGCTAATGAAGCTCAGGGACACATGTATGTGTCTTTATATCTGTACATCCATGTTAGTAAAGGGGAGTTATCTCAGCCTATGAGCTTGCAAAGTAGAAATAAAAGATAATAATGGGAGGGTAGTGCGTGTGGGTGTGTTAATGGACAGGCGTGCCACTAATGGAGAGGAGGAAATGGGTAGCTGAAAAAAGGGGGATATTTGTTCTTTTCCATCTTGCCTATCATTGTTCCTTAAAGAGTGGGCTTGGGAGAGGAGACACATGGATGTGGATTAGAGGAAATGTTTAGTGGAGGAGGCAGACAAAGAGGAATGAGAGCTGGCAGTGAGGGAAGGGAAAGGAGCTGAAAGAGGAAAGGGGATAGACAGCCTCACGTCTGTGAGGGGAAAAGAGCATAAGCTATTCTGTGTGAAGACACGCACGCACGTGCAACGGTGAGTCACAAACGAGGCAAAAGAAATGAATGAATTGGGATAACCGCAGTGTGTGACTGTGTGTTACTCCGATATGCTTTTGGCTCGATAGTTTTTCACCACCACACCACGGAACAGAATGTTTAAGCTCTTCGATCGAACTTGTGTGCGTCTCACGCGTTTGTGCGCTGGCATGGATGTCCAACAATGGCACGCATGTGTGTGTGTGTGTGTGTGTGTGTGTGTGTGTGTGTGTGTGTGTGCTCGGATTTAAGCGTATTAGAAATAGTAGCAGTATGAATGAGATTTTACATCAACACGCTGTGGGGAGTCTGAGCCGAGAGAAAAGTAACGCCTGCAGCACTACACTGTTATCACCAAGAAACCAAGCTGAACAATGAAGCTGCACACGCACATGAACACTCAATGGAAAATGGCCTACAATACAATAATAGACACTACAATAATAGAGATGCCTTTTATATTAAAAGACAATGCCACAGATTTTTCCCGACTCAGTTTATTTACTGCTTGTTGCCAACCCCTTTCCAGAGCTTAATGTGGGATTTTAAATTATTTCTAACCCTCCGAGAAAAAGTGCACTAGCTTTAAATCACTAGCTTACAAAAATCAATTATGCATTAAATTGTTGTGTTTATTTGCAGTTTATAGTCCAAAACTTGAGTAATATGCAAAATGGTTCTTCAAAACTAATGTCGGAAGTAATGAGACTTTTTTGTGTGTGTGTGTGTGTGTGTGTGTGTGTGTGTGTGTGTGTGTGTGTGTGTGTGTGTGTGTGTGTGTGTGTGTGTGTGTGTGTGTGTGTGTGTGTGTGTGTGTGTGTGTGTGTGTGTGTGTGTGTGTGTGGTGGCCAGGCCCTCAGAGCGGTCTGGAGAAGATGTGGACATAATTCTGACCAGACTGAGAGAGGTCAAAGCCTTCCAGAGGTTTCCACCTCCGCTCTTACTGCAGATCTGTGCCTGTGCCTTCTATGAGTGCCTGGAGAAAGGCATCACACGTATGTACATGTACACACCGACACCAATACACATGAAAAGAATACAGTCTGGTAATGAAATGTTACTTATTTAATGAACGACAAAGCATGCCTCTTACTCTGTGAGCCTCAGTTTAGCTCTTTTCTACTTGAGTTTCTCTTGTAAGCTTATTTGTACAGTATATGCAACACTTTGAAGGATACAGATGTTACTTTTCAGTTAATTTCAATAAGCTTTCTTGGCATTCATTTAACAAAGATTATAATTCCAAAGCATCAGGTGGTAATTTCTTCAATTTCTTAGACAAGGAACAACCTATGGTTACTGCATAATCAAACTTTTTTTTGTTTGGAAAATGTAAAAAAAAAAAAAGAAGTGAATTGAAGATATCCCAGGGCCTTTAAATGGTTTCATTTGCACATTCACCAGATATTCACACCCACTTTTGACAGAGAAGCTGCAAACTGACATTCAAGAACCAGTGAATGCATGGAAACTTAGCTGAACAAATGACTCCCAAAATCATTTTTTTGATCGTCTTATCCATATATAAACCTTAATTACAACTTATCCAATGCTTCCTCTCTGTGAGCACACCAATATCAATATTTTCTTGGTAACTTCAAAGATGTTGGTAGTGTACAGAAGAATTATCATCAACATGTTTTAATGTATTTTATTGTCTGCAGTGTTTCGACAAGGGGACATAGGCACCAGCTGGTACGCTGTCCTGTCCGGCTCGCTGGATGTCAAAGTGTCAGAAACTGCAAATCACCAGGTAAACACAGCTTCAGGCTTAATTATCTTACTGATCTTGCTTATAGTTTCACTTCTGCCGCTCCTCTGTGTCTGTTCTGGGTTTCCTGTATATAATTTGAACCACAAATGAATAATGAATTGGATCTTAAATCATGGGCACGGTGGGATTCATCCTTGTAATTTGCTTTTTTACGACTCACATTTTCCTAGTCCCTGTTGTACTATTTTCATCCTAACCTTCCCTTGTCAAGATCCAGGCTACTTGTCGAAGTTGTTGTTAGAGAGCTGTGTTGTCTAACATGAGAACACAGAACATGACTTGTTCTAGTACATTAGCTCATCTCTCTCAGCTTTAATATGCCAGAGCAGAGATGCAACAGCACAGAAAACAAGTCCACTGGGATCTGCTTTCTGCAACTTTATACTCTTAATGCCAGAGAAGTAGAGTTTTACTATACACATAGTTAGATAAAGGAGGCTAAAGACATGTGGGGAAAGAGAGAGAGAGAGAGGATTTTCTCCCAGTCAAAGAATGACATACAAAGCCTCTTCATCGTGAAATGTCCTTTTCATGTATGTAGCCCTAAAGAGTCAGTGGTGGCCTAGTTTCTGTGGCTATATTTGAAATGTCATTTTGGACAGCTGAAAAAAGGTTTCCATAGCATGCTGAATATCTGTCCAAATCAGTGGACAGTGTGGGTGCATTTGTGTGCATGATGTGTGTGTTTCTTGCTTCCAGTCTGTCCAATTTTATCCAACAGCAGAGATATTTTCCTACTGTAGACTCGGTTAACTAGTTCCTCATATATGAATGTATTTGCATTAATTACCATATATTATTCTGTCTGCTCTTCATGTCTGTCCATTATAAAGCAAACCTTTGGATAGATGTTTATTGCTTCTGCCTAGAGCTGCAAAGATGAGTTGATGATTAAATCCGTGGACTAACAGCAAATGCAATATCGTTTTTTTTATTTTAAGAATCCAAATATTCTTTTGTTGAACCTTTAAAACTACAGAATAAGTGTAAGTTAATACATCTGTCCTGGTCTAGTTATTGTAGTAAAAAAAATAAAGAAGATGAAGTGATTTTGAATAAATATGTAGATGCAGCCCTGGTAGAGTCACTCTTTACAGTCAGTATTGAGCAACAAGCAGAACCAGTGTAACTTAGCATTAGCCCTTTGTGGTAGGGCTTATTTTAGCACAATTTATCATTTAAATTGAACATGTAGTAAATGTAATGCAGCAATTTAAACATGCATATTGTGTCTGTGCGCAGGATGCAGTCACTATCTGCACGCTGGGGATTGGGACAGCGTTCGGGGAGTCCATCCTGGACAACACACCACGCCACGCCACCATCGTCAGCCGAGAGACCAGCGAGCTGCTCCGAATCGAGCAGAGAGAGTTTAAGAGCCTGTGGGAGGTGAGAGATAAAGATAGAGTGTTCTTGTGCTGTTTGTGTAGCTGTGAGTGTGAGCTGGAAATTCATGATTCAGCTAAAAATGGGTTTTGGTTGTGTACCCAAAGGGTTACAACATCTTTGATCAAGTTTCCCTATAGAAGTGGGGCTGCATTTTCAAAATCTCTTTCATTGTAATAGTGCAATAAACCACAAGAGGGCTGTCAACCATAATGGGGCTTTCTGCTTAATCAACTAGAGACCCAGCTCAGGTGACACTCGACCTTAACCTGTTAAGGTATAAAGAAAGAGAGGGAGAGGGGGTGTATAATACATTCCCAAAAGTTGGAACTTGGGATGTTATGTAAAATGTAAATAAAAAACAGAACGTGATGTTTACAGAACATTGAAACCCTATATTTCATGCCCGTTTTTTTATTTCATGCCAGCGACACCTTTCAAAAAGTTGGGACGGAGGAAAGAAAAGACTGGAAAAGTCGCTTAAAAAACACCTGATGGAACAGTCAATCAGGTTAACTGGCAATCGGTCAGTAACATGATTGGGTATAAAAAGATAATCCATGAGAGGCGGACTCATTCTGAAGTAAAGATGGGGAGGGGTTCTCTACTTTGTGAAAAACGGTTTAAGAATAAGGTTTTGTAACAGAAACATGTAAAGAATCTAAGGACTTCTTCGTCACAGTACATAAATCAGGCTCATCGCTGCACTCACAAATGCTAGCTGAAACCATGAAAAGAGGAAACGGTTTAAACGGAGTTAACCAGATCCAGAAACGTAGCAACCTTTCTAGGCCCAGGGTCATTTAATATACCATAGACTGAGGTAAAATGGAAAGACATCTCTACAAAATGGTGTATGCCCTATAAAGTGCACTATGTGAGTAGTGTGTTATTTCGGACACAGTCATTGCTTCTTATGCAAGATGACAGTATTTCGTTTACTTTGAGGTCAGAGGAGAAAAGATTTTGGTTTTCTTGCTTAAGATTGTTTCACTCACATAAACTCATTCTAGGCCATTGCAGGGAGACTCCTGGTTTACAATTCAAAGCATGTTTACAAGTCTGTGGAAGTAAGACTACATAAATGAAACACGCTGTATGGAACATTCATAACCCTGGAGCGATCTGCATGTAATCTGTGTGCAATATCCACAAGTGATGTCCCTTGAGTTGACACTGGATAGGACTACAGACTACATGTTGTGTTATGTGTAACGTAGGCTCAAGCTTTTTAGAAGCAGGGTGAATGTGTGAAATCAGAAAAGATTCATCAGTCTTGATGCTTGGAAAATATAAATTGTGAGTCTGAAAAGGTTAAGTGACTGTAAAGTTAAATGAGTGTAAATGAAGTGTTGGCTTTTTGTCTGCTAGCTAATGTGAAACATAACCCATCTCTTCTGTCAGTGTTGAAGTGTAATAACTGCTCTGATGAGGGACAGTGGTAAGATATTGACCTAGATATTCAGTGTATGAAATATTGATTAAATCATGCAGCATTTTGCTCAATACTAAGGTTTTGTTTATAAAAATATGGGTCTCTAGTAGATGACCTTGTAAAAATTCATAACCGTTTTGTTACGAAATTAAAAATGTATATGACTTTGAGCACTGTTGCTGTCAAGGGTGTGGAAACTCAGGAAGTGGACCCAAGTGCAGAAGCTAACAAAAATGATTTATTAAAAATAAGGATCAAAGGTCCACACAAAAAGTTACTATCAAAATCCAAGAAGAGAAAACAAGGAGACACTAGTAAACTGACAGCCGACATAGACTTACAACTAACATTCGACACATGACAAACAACAAACATGAGGAAGGGAGGGGCTGCTAAGGGTGAACCATAACAGTTGCTCTTGTCAACAAAGAGAGAAAACTAGTGTGCACACTTCCAGGCAAAATACATAGAGGTGCAGGAGAAGAAATGTACGAACAGCAGAAAACAGAGAACAGTCCGCACACTGCACAGCTCCCAATGGCAATTTTATTTAAACAGGCCAACGTTTCGATCTACAAGATCTTCCTCAGGCCAACAAACCCTCCTTCTTGAGAAGATTTCTCTGTAAAAATTCTCTTTTGACAGCTTCTCTTCACCTAAAGTTAATACAATTGTTCATTTGTAATTTATCAAGTATTATCATTGCTGCAACTAATAAAAGTAAAAAATACATGATAACAACCTGGTTTTGTTGAGGTGTGATGTTTCAATTTTTTTTTTTTTACATGGATACACATAAAAGCCAGATAAAACAATATGTGTTTAGTGAAGCATGTGTGCCCTCCTATTATCAGGCTTGTTGTGTGTTTGTTTGTTGCCTAAGTGCACTCAGTCTCCCTCTCTGCCATCTATTTTTGGACCGTAGAAATAAAGCAGAAAACACAGCCCGAGGTTGTCCTGCTTTCAATCTTATTCAGTTCATAGTAAAAGGATCTTTGTGTTTCATGTTTTTGTGTGTGTGTGTGTGTGTGTGTGTGTGTGTGTGTGCATGGGCTAATTCAACTGTGTGTGCATGTGTGTGGCCAAGACAAGAAAGCGATGGGATGAAGGCAGTCATGTGTTTGATGAAAGGATGAAAGAAAAAAGTGCCGCTCCATAATTCTAACACCAAGTGAAAATGGGATAAATAAACAGGGGGGGAAATGTAAAAGTGTTTTTTGTGACGGCTGTTTGAAAATACAGTTTGTCAAAACGGCGGATGCTTGGTATGGCATGTATTGTAAGCCTTTCTTTTTCTTCCCTTTTTTATTCATCCGTCCCTTTTACCTGCACTACATCTCTCTTGCCCACTTCCTCTCTCCTTTATGACCCGTGTTGTGTCTTTTGCCAGCCTCCTTCCTGTCCTCCCTCCCTCTCCATCCTCACCCTCACTCCTCACCATGCTCTTTTCTTTCCCTCCTATGCTCCCTTTTTTCTCTCCCTCCCTCCCTTTTACTCCTCATCCACTGGAGTAGCTCAGTCGTACAGATCACCGTGGTAACCTGGGAGAGAAAGTGGTTTGGTTCTTGGCTGTGTTGCAGCGAGAGGGTGGGAGCTAGAGACTGAGGGAGACACTGGGGCAACTGTTTGAGAGGGAGAGAGAGAGAGAGAGAGAGAGAGAGAAAGGATGAGAGCAGCTTGTGTAGAGCAGGATGCTATCTGGTGGCTTGTGTGTGAGTTGTAAAGGAGCAGAGGGCAGCTCTCTGGGGTTTCAGTCCCTCCAGCTTTAGGCGGCTGAGTGTGTAACCTCAGGTGAGTCTGTAGTCTCAGCTACAACACTGTGTAGTGTCTGTGTGATGTGCATGTGGACTTGCTTGTGTGTTAATGTAATATTGCTTTATATTTACTTTTCTGTGTTGAAAATGAATGATCCAGAATT